ACGAAGAAGAAATATATATATTCAAGCAGGCTTTTAATATAAAATCATGTCAGGATGGCTTTTATATGGGATGTATGCTCTAGATGTGTTTTTAAACCTTTCTCTATTTTATGTCGTTTTATATTGTTTTTAGCCAGATGTTTTATTTTTTAAATTACTGTAAAATCTTTTAAACCAATTTTGTCTGCGAGCTCCCTTTCTTCATGAAAGCGGGCATAGAAATGAAAATAATAATACACTAGTAGAATGGCTTGTTATACTGGTGTGGACCTTTTGCAAGAGTGCACAAATTGGCGTTGGGGGAAAGCAGAGAAGAGCCCTTTTCATCAGGAGAGAAAGCTGAGAAAGCTGCCTTCTGGACAGGTTCTTGAAGTCAGGGTGTTCTGGAAAACCTTAGGGGTGGGTGGGATGGAATAACCTTTCACAGCTGATCCTTTCCAGAGCATCCTGGCTTGGAGGATGCACCTGGACGTCAGACACTATAAAGCCAGATTTCTCTGAGATGAAAGCTTTCCCTCCCAAAACTGGTGATGGAGATTTTCTGTGCCGTCCTTTGTAGTCACACTTCTCACCTGTTGCCATGCAGCCACCTAAGTCAGTGTAGTTACACAGCTGCACCTGATCCACGTAACTACTGTGTAATAATATTTACTCAGCTGCACTTATCTGTCAAGAAAGATATTGACAAGCTGGAGCGTGTCTAGATGAGGACAAAGGTGTGGAATCCATGCCTTATGAGCAGCTCAGAAACCTAGGTATGTTTACTCTTGGGAAGAGGTTAAATGGTGACATGACAGCCATGTATAAATATTTGAAGAGATGTCAAGATTTTGAGGATGGAGCAAGCTTGATTTCTGTTGCTCCAGAGACTGATTCCACCTAAACATTAGATTTCATCTAAACAGATGCTGGATGGCCAACTGTCAGAAGTGCTTTGTGTCTTCCTTCATGGCAGAATGAGGCTGGACTGGATGGCCCTTGGGATCTCTTCCAACTATAGGATTCTATAATTTTACAGGATCTCAGTCTTAAGAGAAAGGACAAACAAGAGGCAGACATACATAACTCTGCAGCATTCAGGGATACATGCAGTGGCTCAAGTGGAAGAGGAATCCTAAAATTATTTTG